CCATAAATTACACAAAGCTTTTGTATGAAATTTTATGTTAAGAGCACAAAATAATACTTAATTTGCCTTACGCTCTCGTTTGCTCGAACTTTACTACGAGTTGCTCGTAAAACAGATAATACTATGTTCTTACGAGTGCTGTATATTTTGCAAATATTTATCATATTTATAAAGAGACTCATTTACAGTTTTTTCTCACTCACCTGAAATCGTAGATATTCATGTTTGTGCCTGTCATCATAATTAATCTTTACGTATTAAGCACTGATCACTGATCTGCTAAGCTTGTTTTTTAATACAACATTACTATGAGCAGTGAAAAGAATTTCGGTTTTATATGTTTTCGGCACTTCAATACAAGTGCTGTTAAATGACCTATAAAAAGATTAGTTAGAATATACATATAATTTCAACGATTTATTTATCAAACGATACTTACTTTTTAATTACTTTTATATAAGTATTTATATTTGTGATTTTGGTCTCGAATCATATTTCCCGATATTATTCTCTAAGGACTTAGAAACCTTAGTTTTATTGTTTCAGCTTGGCTAAAACTGAAGACAATCCATTATCTGTTTCTCAAACTTGGCCTATTGTAGCTTATGTATTTGACTTAAATCTTACCAATCTTTTCCGTTTTCGAAACATCTTTAAATGGAAATGAATATTTATGTTCTTTTAGTGGTATATGTGGTATATCTGAATTGTCGTTAATATCTTTGGAATCTTTGCCTAGTTTTTTTAGCGAGACATCCTCTGCAACCTGTACTCTTGAATCTTCAAATCTTTAGTGACAAGCTTGAGTTAGTCAAAAATTTATAGAGGTTTCAAACTGAAATTAAATAACTATTAACCTATGGACAAATATATGATAATCATGATATCATACTGTCTCGATCTAAGCATTTAAAATCCTCGGCAATGCATCCCTTCTTTGACAAACTGCAATCACAAAACTGCAAAATACTATTTTCTCTCTCCGTATTTATTGATTGATTGTAAAAATCACTAGTCTCATCTGTATTAAGTTTGAAATTCCTACTTGCAAATCAGAAAAGGGGTATTGTTTTAGAGTGTAATTAATAGCAAATGGGTTTTCACTGCCGATGTCCCAACTTAAACGAAATATGGTAATTCAAGATCTAGGTGCCAGATCCAAATGTTGGGCGAACGCTGAGATCGGTCCGTAACAGTGTCGATATGGCTATGAACAATACGAAGGAAGAATGTTGCCATTTATTATTTTACACAACATGAACTTGCCATTATTCAACCGGGTGCTCTAACCCATAGAGCAGCGGTAATTTAAATCGTATTTTTGCCTTATTCTCTCGAACTCTACTTTAACCATCGGCATTTCCACATGGAAATGTATGTTTTCATTGCTGATATACCAGGGTGCACTAGTTATCATTCTTAGAATGTTTGCTTGAGCTCTTTGCAGTATTTCTATCGTATATGGTTTATTTTATACTCTCTCCACTTTAATACATTTCTTATTTAATTTATAGTTTGTATGTAAATGACGATACGTTATTACATTGTAGAAAGAACTGCAATTAATTGGTCAAATTTCAAAATTTAAGAGTCGTTTGTTTTGTACAACGTTGGTTATCAAAATATATGCTTCGACGATTAATTAATATTTTTAGCTTTTATTCCAAAAGCAGATAAACTTCTTCATGTATATAAACGATCATTTAGCAGGTTTAAAAATAATAGAATTACGCGTATTATTTATTTTCTATTTATTTGTGAGACAATTTGATTATTCTCTTTATCTATCATACATCAAATAATAGATACTATAAACTACACCGAATATTTATTAAATGTATGATTTTCGTTTAATATGCTTTATTAACCAATTGCGTATTATTAAGTAATTTTAATTATATTCTTAACTGGATTATAATTTCTACATGTTGGACATGATGAAAATTTATGTAATTATGTATGAATGCATTTCATAATTCGTGAATTGAAATCAGTCAATAAAATTCATGAGTCATTTTTTTTTTCTAAATTAAATGAAATTTACATAAATGGCTCGGAAGCTACATAATTTTCACATAACTAAAACTTATCATTATATTAAATCAAATTTAATAATTATACATTTTTTTCATAAATAGCTGAAGATAGTAACGAAGTATGATTAATGTGGCACTTAAAATTTAAAGAGTAACTTGTTCATTAAACAAGTGTCGCATAGTTTCACTTAAAATCATATAAGATAAAACAATATAATTTGTAATTTGTTTATGATAAATGCAATTCCATGTCGGTGTTAACAGTTTACGACTTTCAATAGATTAATATGTAATTTCTTTTGGATTGTTTTTTTTTTGTGTTATAAATTTTCTAAAGCATTTAGTATTTATATATCTGTGAATTTTTGTTTTACTTATACATGTTATGATATTTTATTTTAATATAATAAAACTTGTAATTTAAATTAAATTTAACTCACATATAAGTGTTACAACACCATATTCAGCTGTATTTAAATACATAAAATATATTTTGTTCATTTTTTTCTTTCTTTTAATTATTTCATTAAATTGCGGATAACTCTTTTTTAAAAAACTTTTCGATATATAAATTTAAAAAATCACGTCATTTTCCTATTCTTTTGTTTCTCTATGTTGAAAATAGTATTTTTCATGACTATTTTGGCTCTGGGATTACTACTCCGGTTGATCAATCTCCATTGGTTTACCAGTTGCTTTGGGTTTGCAGGAGCATGTATTCGCATTGTCGGCGCAATCATCTGTTATAGAACAAACTTCAGAGGAAGAAACTTGACGAGTATTGCGAGTACTTTCACTGCCTACAGGTTCAGATTTAGTTTTTGATATTGTAGATACTGATTGCGATTCAACATCTCCATCGTCTTCATCTTCGTCTTCATCACCCAATTCTTCCTGTATTAATTTTCTAGCAAGCCTAACTGCTTCAAACTCATTGTAATGAGCCTTACGACGGCGTTCAAATTCTAAGCGACGCACTAAAAGGAATTAACAAATATGTTAATAATATATAATATTTTGAATCAAAAACTATCTACCTCTTTCACTTTCAGTTTCCGGAAATTCTTCATCTGAGAGATCATCTTGACCAAAGGAAGGAGTTTGAGTATTAGCGGCTGCACGTAATCTAAAGAATATAAAATGGAATCAGTTTAAAATATATTTAAATTTATTTGTTTAATTTAACACACTTACTTTTCTGCTAACAAATCAGCATCAAGTTGTTCATTTAAACCTTCTTCCGGATCAACATAATTGAACGGAGTTTTTGGTTCATCTATTTTCATATGTCCATAGTCCTTATCGACTGGATGATATGTTTGAAGCACGTTTATTTCATCGAACTTGGCACTTTTGCGATAACTAAATGCAAAACAATGATTTTTACATTTATAAAAAAATCGCATTTATGTTTCAAGAATTTCATCAGTTGCCGAGGTGTTAAGATTAATCACTTTAACTTACATTAATAAATAAAATAATAATAAAAAGAAATACAAAATATGGTACAAAAGATGATGATCTACCGATCATCAATTATCCAATAAATAACGAAAGAATGAAAATAAAGCATTGCAAAGAAAATTGCTGTAAATTTTTGTAATTTCTGAGATTGAGAAATAGAACACCAAAGTACATTCAAATGGAAAACTAAATATAACTTTTTTGAATGTATTTATCACATCATTTTTTACACACGGGATATATTCCTTAATAATTCACTGAAAAAAATTTGTGGAAAAGATAGGATTACGCATAGACGTAGCCGAGCCATATTCCTACTCCTTCACTTGAAGGGAGACCAAAGTAATATTTTTAATGAGAAAATATCACAGATCGATGGTGAGTGGATATACATGTGCAGGCATTCATTCTTCACAAAAAAACATCAGAGAAATATTAGAAATCTATATTAAAACTGTGAACTTGATTTAAAGTAGAACAGTTTATCTCATCAAACTGATCAAGCTTTTATAAAACTTAAAAGCCCTTAGTAGTCTACCTCCTTGTGTTACAAACATTTTGACAATCGTAATACCATGTTTCCACTGCTTACTTTGTAAGTTACTTAAGTAACTTTAAGAAAGTTTGAACTTTGAAAGTTCTAGGAGAGCTTCTGTTTGTTTCAGAAGCTAATATATCACCTAAAACATTTATACATATATATATATATATATATATATAAGATATATTGAATCATTTATATGTATATATTATAAAAGTATAACGTATGCAATAAATGAAAACAATAATTTTATTAAATACTCACTTTCTTTGTACGTTTGTTTATAGATGTAGTTTGTTTATATTTTACATATAAAACATATGATAAATATTTCAAATTTCAGTAATTATCATGGGAATTTTTTTAAGGGTTGGTTTCGACATTTTTAGTCTAATTTTCTTTACTTTATTTTTAAGTAAATTAAAAAGCATGGAAGCTCGTTGTATGATTAATGTAATTTACTTAGTAAGTTATACTAACTATAAACACAGTGGAAACATACTATAATATCTGAAGGGTATAAAAATGCAATGATGTCACTTATCACTTAATAAACTTATTTTGGAACGATTTGAAACAGAAGTATTTTCTTCTTAAAACCACATATGTTGACAATATGAAAGTATTCCAAGAACAGCCGGGTCTACAACGCGAAACCAGTCATAAACCACGGCAACCAAGGGCCGTTCACTACCAACTAAAGAGAATTTGCAGGCAGATCTCTGCGGGCTATCACAATAACAGCAACAATATTAAACCATTTTATTAGCTATAATTCCATTTCTTCATCACTAGAATAGATATTTAGTTTGAGTGACACAATATAAATTTCACGTATAATCAATTTTTTGTATATAACAGCTTAAAGAGTTTTCAACTGATTTTTTACATGTGTTTTAATTTTACTGCATAGAAGATATATTTAAGCCAGTATTAAATCAATTTTGCAATATTTTAATAGAAGACTTTTGAAATAAATTGCAGTAAGTTTAAATATTGCTTAAGTTTACATGACTAATTTGGTGACATAAGTAATTATATATATAATGTATAAATGTATAAATGAACAACCGCAAATATTAAAAACAAGAAAAACAATTCTAAATATATGTAACCTATTAAATTCTTTATAATCTTTTCGGGAATTTCCGTATATTTATATCTGAATTTAAGTAGTTACTCATTTCTTTCCAAAAACAATTAGAAAAAATCGCTTGGAGTTTATCGAAGTATTAGTATCGTTTACAAAGATAGCAGTGTACAAATAACTTAGAAGAAAAAAAATTTTTTAACTATGAACAAAGTACTTATGTAATGTGCACATACTCTTTAAAATAAAGATCATTTCCGGAAGATAGTATATACTATATGAAATAGATAGTTAATTTGATCTCTATATGGATTGTTGTAAAATTTGTTTGAAATTTTTGAAAATAATATAATATACAATGAAATTCGAACTCCTATGTACTCGAACTCCTATGGAAGAATTGTTGAATATTCAACAATTCTTCCTTGTATTTTTTTCTCCATAAGTCAAATTTCCCTAACTCAAATATTTCCGTAACTCGAAGTAAAAATTCACATAGCATTTTAGCACTTCCCTTTAAATTTATCTCCACAACTCAAATTTTTTGTTTCGATTTATATCTTCCAATACTTTTGTCAGTTATTTTTCTAACTTACGCGACATTATTGGATTCTAACTTTCAGCGATACTATTATGGCTAACAACAGCTCTTATTATTGTAAATTTCCTTAATACGAAGATGGAGTTGTTCTTATTATCAGTGAAGCAGTAGACTTTCAATCACAAACATGAGTAAAACAAATTTAAAATGTTTGACAATCCCGGAAAAAATTAATTTAATTATTGAAGTAGAAAAAGGTGACAAAAAGAAAAAAGATATAGCCGAAAAATATGGAATTATTTTAAAAAATTAGGACAGCTTAAAAAGAGAGTTCTGTAATAATAAACGTCAACGGAATACAATATGTAAATAAGATGACGTGGGTGAAGCTGTTACAATGGATAATTACTGCAAGAACAAAATATCTACCTCTATTGGATAGTATTATTAGAGAAAAGGTAAAGCAGTTTGCAGACACATTTGCGGCAAATAAAGATGCGATCAAGAAATTTGAACACTTATGCATTTTATAGCAAACGCACCGGATGATATATTCCAATTCAATAAAATTACGTGTGTATAACATATTCATTTAATACTTTGGAAAGAAGAGTGGTAGAGTGGCAAAAAGTAAAAAATGTAACTGAATACGAATTTTCCCTAACTCGAACTTTTTTGCTGTCACCTTGACTATTCAAATTAGAGGAATTTCACTGTACAATAACTAATGACTTGTATCTGTACAAACAGACAGACGGGAATGATAGACGAGTGGCTCTGAGATAAAAACTAGACAGACAAACGACATCATAATATCGACTCATGTTTTAAATCCTCTTTCCTACGTAGCTACTGTGTTTTAATTAGACTTAATAAATCCTTTATACACAAACTTATCAAATTTCGATGCAGCAACGCATTCAGTATAATTAAATTAAAAAGTAAGTAAACTATATATAAAAATAACAAAGCAGTTTTTGTAATTTTAGTTGATCTACAGCGGTTTGTTACATTTCCTAAACAAATTTGTTGTTCAAGAAACATATTTTAAAAATGATAAAATAACTGTTTATAGTTTAAATATAAAATTAAGCGTATTATATAGTTTATAGATTAAGTTCTTGTTTTAACACAAAATAAAGAAATAAGTGCATATTAACATAATTTTAACCATTTCTGCAGTAATGAGATAGCAATTCTTTAGAAATAAAACTGATTCACATTTTTTTAATTAAATATAAACTACATATAATTTACCTGGCATTTGGTTTATCAAAACTACGTGATGTTTTTAATATGCCTTTGCAGGGCTTTTTGGCATCAGGTGAATCCTGATGCATATTTCCGACTTTTTAGATTAACGTACAGATAAGAACAGCCACCAACACGTTTTACTGATTGTTGTTGCTGTAATCTAAAAATAATTGATATAAAATATATGTATACATTTTATTATACTTATAAATGTGTTTACATAAAAGTATGTTTCACACAAACAATTTTACAATTTACAAGCACATCGCATTAAACGTTTCGTAATTTTCTAATTCTGATGATACACCAAGTCAAATAAATAAATAAAAAAAGTATGCATGATATCATAGGGTAATTTAAATAAGCTTACCTTTAAACAATTTGATCAACGGTATTAGCTACGGCGTATGGAAATGTCTGTCATCAAAGGTCACGTTAATTAAATGTGGTGATACGTAAATCGAAACAGATTATTTATTTGCTGCTAAAGTTACCTAATTTGCCGTTTTGATTCCTTTCTCAGAGAATTGTTTGTGGGGTGTATGAAGTCTCGTCTGGCGTATGATGTGTTTTTCAATTTTGATCGTTTATTGAAAATCCTAATGTATTACTTATTGCTTTTTTTATTTAGCACAACCGTATTAATTCTTCTTTTATACTTATTGTATGAAACCAACTCCCATAAAAATTTTGTTTTACGAAATTGCTTTTCGTCCCAATTTTTGTCGTTTTCGTTGCAGCTGTCAGTTTGACTTTAATATATTGTATGCCCCAGAGTGCTGCCCATACGCCGCAATTTAGAATTTTGGTGATGTTACCATATCATACATTTCAAAACCTTATTGTAGCATTTTTGTGGCACGAAATTTATTAGCAAAACGCTTATATATTAAATCATATATTTTTATGACAGTTAATGCAATGATTTTAAAATAATAAACATGCATATAATATTTTTTGTAGCTTTAACATGTTCAACTGAAACGAATTAGCTGTGCCAAAATTCATTATCACCTCCAACCACTATTCAAAAATGAAAATCTCAATGCTAGGAACAGGAAGCTTATATATAACCAAATAATTCGTCCGTCACTTCTATATGGATGTGTAGCGTTTAGCAAATCCTCAAACACTATTATTCGTCAGCTAGAAATTGCACAAAGCCAGGCTCTGAGAAGACTTTTCAAAGTACCATGGAACATTACGACAAAATACTACAAGTACAAAAAATTTCAAATAATTCTGTGGTTGATAAATACACATAAATACAGAAATACCTGTAGATAATTTTATAAAAAAATTGCAATCATATGTCAAAAATTATATGTAAATAAAAATTAAACAAAATTCAAAACTTTCATAAATTTAAAAATTGAAAAAAAAAGAAACATTTCAGTGTTTTATTTTGTGATTTTCAATATTTTTACCATTCCTTTTAATTACGTATTCATTTTCATTTTCAATTTATGTTAATTATTTGTTTTTATACGAAATGTAATTTGCTTGCATTATGCTATTTTTACTATTTGTCCAAACATAACTCTTAACAGATTGAAACAGTGATGCCAATAGCCGCGTGGCTAATATAGGCCAGTATACATTTATTGCCATACTTGTGAGCTACCGAAAAGGCCTAAAGTTATTGTTTCGCGTACATTTCAGGCAGTATAGACCAGTAACTTGCTGTTTTTTGGCATACTTGCCAGCCACCGAAAAGGCCTTATGTAGTATTATGACATGATATATGACAGATATATATTAGAACTAGTATTTATATATCTTTAGTACTTATAAATAAGTATTTTAAAGATTTGTATGACTTATTAAATTAAAGAATTCTTGTCTTATTGTTTAACTAACGAACACAAAAGGCTTAGTTTTAAACACTACAAATACTTACTGAATATTTGCCGCTGGTGTATTGCATGTCTATGTGTTGATATGAATTTCATAACAAATTAAAGTTATAAATATGGCAACCATAAAATGATAACAGATGGTATTAAATACTTCCATTATTTTGTAATGTTATTTTTTTGGAAGTAGTGTATTAGCGACTTAATACTAAGTCAATAATCGTAATAAAATTTACTCGATTCTACTATAAAAATTGTTGAAACTAAATTAATAATAATAAATTAAAAGACAGTGTTTCTGTATAAATAAACAAAAAAAATTTGCTGAATTATTTTTAGTTTAATTTAAATACTTACTGAATATTTGGCGCTGGTGTATTGCATATCTATAGGGGTATTCACTCTCTCTTGCAAACTCATTGCAAGGTGCACGAAATGCACAGATTGTACGAGAATGCAAATAACAACAACAAAATACACGCACAAAATTTCGTGCAATTGCGTGCAATCTTCCAATGCTGAAACCTATGTATATTTGCTTGCAACAAACCAGAAATGGCGGAAATCAGCTGTTTTGTCATTTGTTGCTTCTCATTTTTAAATTTGAATTGACTGTTAGTAAAATTTCGAGATATGTTAATCTATGGCTATGCTATATACATGCGTTTCGTTCAATAATTTAAATCGATGTGACCATTAATAAAGTTTTCACAAATATAATATTATATACATATACATTTGTGAATTAATTTATCTATTTATCAATTTCAGCGAAACTTACGAAAATTTGTTCACATTTTGAACTATTGAATGAAGTGTTTGGACGCATGTCTAATTTTGTACGGAAACATTGCCATAGCCACCAACTAGTTCTGCGCTAGGCAACGAAGTTTTTTTTATTGAATCGTCTGCAGACAACACATCATCCAACTCTGCACCGAAAGTCGTGCGTTCTGCTGTGCAAAGCCCCACTACCCCCCTCGATAAAAAATATAACAAATAACAATAATAAATTAAGAATTAGTTATATTTTTATTATACTAATTATTTTTATATTATATTATTATTACATATATCTCCAACAACAAATAATGTAGCGACTTTACGAATAGCCGCATTTTCGCCTGATGAACCCAAACGATATAAAACAATAGCAATCCTTAATAGTTTATTAGTGAGACTATTAAGGAAAATACGTTCCAATTTACTGTAAGCATCTGACAAAAACGGCCTTCATCAAATTCTTGAAGAATGGTAGATCTCCATTGAATAGATTTTGGTACGGGTTGGTGATTTCTGTGATGGTTTACTAAAGTAAACAAAAGGTCTTCATTTAATTGCTCCATCACTTCCCAGTAATTTGCATCATCTAACAAATAGAAACTATATAGTAGTGAAAACTACATTAACAACATGTTAATACCTTCAATCAGAATATTAAAAGCACTATTTTCAATTAAAAAATCTATACATTTTTGTATTTCACTTGTTCGCGGCATTGTTATACTTTTATTTTTCTTTGCTCAATGTGAATCGACTGCAAAAACAGCTGATTCATTTTGATGATACAATTCTGCAACAGAGGTGTTCTCGCAGTCTTGCAGTTTTTACATAGCATTCTTGCATTTCGTGCTCCCTGCAATGAGTTTACAAGAGAGAGTGAATACCCCTTATGTGTTGATATGAATTTCATAACAAATTAAAGTTATAAATATGGCAACCCTAAAATGATAACAGATGGTGTTAAATACTTCCATTATTTTGTAATGTTATTTTTTTGGAAGTAGTGTATTTGCGACTCAATACTAAGTCAATAATCGGAATAGATTTTACTCGATTCTTCTATAAAAATTGTTAAAACTAAATTCATAATAATAAATTAAAAGACAGTGTTTCGATATAAATAAACAAAAAAAAATTTGCTGAATTATTTTTAGTTTAAAGCGATGTTAAATGGTTAGAATTGAAAAATTGTATACTAATACGAAAACGGTGTTACAAACGCATACATCAATATACATAAACAATTATAAAATGCATTAAATACTATTAAACAAAACCATATACAAAACAACAAAAAACCTATAATTAAAAATTTCAGTCACAACATTTATAATTGCAATATTTTCAATAATGAATCAAAAATAATTTTTTTTAATTATGTCAGTAATTACGAAATTACAAATAGCATTCAAACACATCACCACCGACCGTTCTACCCGGTAGTGATGCTTAATTGTGTTGCTTCCCTTCACCCACTCAACGTGTTAAGGTCTATTAAGTTTAAAAGTATTTTATTGAGTCAGCGTATACATTAATCTGCATGGCAATGGGTCAGCTTAAGTTGTTTACCATAAAGATAATCACAGCAGAGACATCGTTTTTATTATGATGAATATTAAAAAACTTTATAATTTGTGCTTTGGACTTCGAATTTTTTATGTCTGATTCTTACTAGTAATTACGTATTTTTCTCTTGCGTATTTGCTACTATATAGCATTGCGTAATTTATTTATATTTTGGTTTATATATTCAGTTGAAATTCAATATTAGCGAAATGCTTATCTTTGTTTACATAAAAAACCAATAAATTTTATTAAGTTTTTCGTTGTAAAAATCAATATGCAAAGCTTAACAAAATTAGGAATCAGTTTATAAAAAACAGCTGAATTGTTTACTTGAAACTAGTCTTTAAATATTTAATTCTGCGAACACACTTTGAAAATGACTCATATTACCCGGAATTGTTTTAGATTTCAGTTGCAAATATATTTAGATAATTACATATACTATATAAAATAAAACACATGTTTCAAATTAGTTTAGTACTAATATGCAAATATCATATGTATACTAAAATAAAAATG